GGCAGGGACGGCCGTCCCGAGGGACAGAGGTACGTCAGGGGGCAGGGACGGCCGTCCCGAGGGACAGAGGTACGTCAGGGGGCAGGGACGGCCGTCCCGAGGGACAGAGGTACGTCAGGGGGCAGGGCCCTTCAGGACCACTATATGTTAATTACCTGATTAGTATAATTAGTCTGAAATCTCTTGATGACTATTTAGCTGCTGTGCCCCCTTTTCATAGAAATAATCTCAGTTTTATTTTGGGTTAATATAGTACGTTTTAAGCAGTGGATAAGGACATGTGTAGAATCAGCATATATACTTCATGTGTGTGTCTACATTTCTTCTACATTTCTTGCTTCTACTGATACAGAAGCTCTCTGTCTCCAGTCTCAGGCTCGATTTCAAACAGACGCCACACATGTTAACTGGAGCTTGGGCGGAATACAAGAGCTCCGCTGAGAACTACCTCAAGGGCTGCAAATGGTAACCCCTTCCCCGCCACCTCCGCCGCTGCCCACCCTCAGATTCAGGCTTTAACGATTCATGTCACATGCCTTATTCTCATGGCCTTCCTTTCAGTCCATATCCTATTAGTTCATACTGTCACTCGGACGTTTCTATAACCAAGCCGCCGTGCGTCATGCCCCCCCCCCCCCCCACCTCCGCCACTCGTCCCCAGGGCTCCGGACGGCTCCTGCGTCCTGTCCAACAGTGCGGACAACGTGCTGCGGCTCTACAACCTGCCGCCGGAGCTGTACGCCCACGACTGGGACCTCATGACGGAAATGGTGACAGTGTGCCACCCACACACACGTGCACGTACACCTGGACACGTGTACAGCGTAGCATTTAGTGAACCTGTATAACTGCACATCTACTCATGCTACAGACGTCCATGTGCAAACATCCCCAAAGAGTACACATGTAAAAGATTGTATAGACCTGCTACACAGATGCATATATGTAGAAAAATGTATAAGTATACATGCATACACAAAGAACATGTCCACAGTATGCCTGTACTATACTTGTACATGTGCCTATATTGTACACAAAGGTACATCAGTGGTGGCCAACCCATTAGGCAACACAGGTGGCCGCCCAGAGCAACATCTTCAGAGGGGGCGGCGACTTGGGAAACAGCCCATTTCACTTTGTCTCCAGTAGGGGGTGCCAGCAGTGGAGCTTGCCTCAGGCTTCACATGGGCTTCAGGTGGTACTGAGGTCCAAACACGTATGAGACTTACTGAGACACGCCTGGCAAGTGACGGTCCTCTTCCTCCGCCAGAGCCCTGTGCTGAGGATGCCCGAAGGAGACACCATTTACGATTACTGCTGGCTCCCCATCATGACCTCATTGCAGCCTGACACCTGCCTGTGAGTCCTTAGGCCGCCTCCTGACCCTCTCATCTGTCCGCTGTCGCTCTGCAGGCTCCTGGCCTAACTTACTCCAGCACCTTCCTTCTTGAGATGGGCTGTAACGTGAGGCAGACTTCGTGCCTGTGCATAGTTTGTTCGTTTTCTGTTCGCTTAGGACGGCGTGACACTTTGTTTGTGAAGTTGGAACAAGAACAGCGGCAGCCAGCAGGAAGTGGGGGTATTGCTGTTGTCAGGGCGACGGGGGCAGGCCTGTAATGAGAGCCCCCTACTCGAGCGTGCGCCGCCCGTCCTGTTCCCAATTTGTCTCGGCTCCCTGGTCGCAACTGGGGCTCGTCCTTATCAGAGCCCAGCAGGGCGGGGGCCCGGCAGCGATGGTTCGGGGACGAGATCGGGGAGGGGGGATGAGCTGCGAAGGAGGCGCGGAGATCATTAATTAGGGGGGAGGCCCCCCGATGGCAGGCAACAAGCCGGGAAGATAATGATGTTAGAGGGGTCACTGTCACGCCGTCCCCCGCCGCCGTGATTAATGTGCCGTTGTTCCCCCGGGGGGGCGCGTGTGCGTGAGCTGGCCTTGCCCCCCCCCCCCCACCGCTCCTGCCTCGCCGGCATGACGAGAGCGGCGATAGTGACGGGGAGTGACACGGGCGAGAGCCACGACTTTCCGCTAATTAGGACCTTGCTGCTTGAAGGTTGAGGATGTGGGAAGGGGCCCGGGGGCCATGTTTGTGGCCCCCGCTGTTTCCCTCCGCATCAGCGCGGGCTGCTCCTATGCCCTTGCATGGCGGCCCCCGGGATCCCACCTCGAGGGAAGCAGGATTTCCAATTAAATCCTGCGCGTGACTGACGGCCCCAGCCCCCCTCCCCAATACCTACAACATCGCTGCTGCTGGCCAGAGATGATGGAAAAGTAAATTGCTGATAAATCATTTACATTTAAATTATGATATATTTTTTGTCAGTATTTTTTTTGTTGTTGCAGCATTCATACCATTGATGGCTGTTTTATTTGCACGATTTGTTGTTTTTCTTCTCAGTTTATTTTCATTTTCAATTGTTTTCTTTGTTACCTCTCTTCTTCCTCTGCACTATTTTTGTAAATTTTGTTTTCAGCCACACCATCCATCAGTCCATCCATCCATCCATCCGTCCATCCGTCCATCCGCCTACCTGTTCAATACTGGGATGCATTTTTGCTTTCATTTTTCCTGGATGTTGCCTTTTTCCCTGATACTGTTGCTGGTTCCTCTGTCACTGTAAGGGTAGTTGAAGCCTTATGGTTTCTCTCTGCAGCCTTTGGCTGGGGGGGGGTGGCACCTGGGCATTCTGGGAAATTATTTTTTTTAACTAATGCAGAACAAGGTTCACTTTGAAGCTAACCCCTGGTCTTACTGTCACTTTAAGGAAAAGAACACAAAACAACACCCCTCTTTCATTTAGCATGTATTACTCTTGTCTGTCTTTTATCTGCCCTTTGTAATTAACTGTCGATTCCAGCCAGCTGGCCATTGCGACCTGGGATGTTATTTCCCCAGCGGGAAATTACCCTGTGCCCATGTGTTCAGCTGGACTGGACTGAGTCAGGCTAAACCCGAGAGCTTAAGCTTGAATTGCAAACATATTTGTGCCCCTTTCCCCCTCCCAGCATCGCCAGCAGCAGTCGCGATAACCCAGTACACCTGTGGGATGCGTTCTACGGCGACCTCCGTGCGACCTTCCGAGCTTACAACCACCTGGTGAGTGCGGCGCTCGAGAGCCGGGCGCACATCAGAGCGGGTTTGCAGAAGCTGCAGATGAAAACGTTCCTTCCTTTGAAAGCCTCCACAGGATGGATTCTCAGAGGCTCTTTCATTCTGTTTCACTCACTTTTCTGTGTTCTTTTCTAACCCCAGCATGCAGTACAGTCATAATGGATCACAGAGCAGCTACTACACACTGTAAACACCATAGTATTTCCTTCTGTCGTTTTCTTGCTTATGTTTTTGGTTTGCAGTTTGTCATTGAGATCTATAGATTCATTGTGATTTCAGCCCATTGTCTTCAGTGTAAAAGCCTTAACTGTCAGATCTTCCTTGGCCACATTACCAGATAGAAATCCGTCGTCAGATATAGTGAAGGCTTATAAATTTACCAGCAGGGGTTTTGAAAAATATGAATTAGCTGTTTTCAGGTTGAGGGAACATTTTGGATGAGGACTGCAAGGTTTCATTGCTGACTGGTTCATGTCTGGGCATCACGACCCTTGCTGGGCAGCATTTTGGCTGCTTTCCTGGCCGGACCGTGTGTCTGGGGTCTGTTCTCTCATTTGTCTGCTCTGGATCGTCTGATTTTTCACACTGACTGAAAAAAACATGGTCTCTGTTTCCCATAGTGTATTTCTGTGTCTGCCCTGTGATACCTTGGTATAGCTTGCAGGGCTGCCTGGCCTTGTGCTCTGCTGCTTGGGATCAGCTCCTTCTCCCCGCATGTGATTGATTGATGGATGGATGGATGGATGGATAGATGGATAGATAGAGGTTTTCCAAACGCCAAGTCTTATCTTTATACAGAAAAATTATTTGACTAAAACATATGACACAGTCATCTCACTATTAAAATGCGCCCACAGGCATTCACATAAGAAGTGTATTGAACAGTAAACCTCTTCCTAATTTAGATACTGCCCCTTCGTCAAATCATTTGCAAGTATGGATTTAACTTTCACTGCTATGCTGATGATATTCAGTTATATGTCAG